GTTGCCTGGGTGGGTCTTGAACCCCGCAGGCTCAGGCAATCCACTCGCCTCGGCCTCCCAAAGTGCTGGGATTACAGGCTGAACCACCGAGCCCGGCCCCTAGAGTTTAAAAGAAAAAAAGAAAATAGACTTTGGTGAGGATGTGGAGAAATTGGAACCCTGACATGTTGCTGGTGGGAATGTAGAAGGGTGCAGCTGCTGTGGAAAACAGTTTGACAGTTCTTCAAAAAAAGTTAAGCAGAGTTACCATATGACCCAGAAATCCTTCTCCCAGGTAAATACCCCAAATAATTGAAAACATATGTTCATACAAAAACTTATACATGAATGGTCACAGCAGCACTTTCCATACTAGTCAAAAACTGGATATAATTCCAGTAAATGAAATGTCCAGAAAAAGCAAATCTAGAGATACAGAAAGGGGGAAATAGGGACTGAGGAGTGACTGCCGAAGGGTCTGAGGTTTCTTTTTAGAATGATGAAATGGTAGTGATGGTTGCACAACTTCATGACTGTATTTAAAAACACTGTATTGTTTACTTTAAAATGGCGAGTTTCATGATATGTGAACCATGTCTTAATTTTTAGAAATGAAATGACATGTGTGTGTATAAAAAAACCTGAGAGGGCTGGGTGTGGTGGCTCACACCTATAATCCCAGCATTTTGGGAGGCAGAGGTGAGAGGATTGCCTGAGCCCAGGGTTTTGAGACCGGCCTAGGTGACTTGTTGAGACCTCGTCTCTACAATAAATCAAAAAATTAGACGGGTGTGGTGGCGCGTGACTGTAGTTCCAGCTACTTGGAAAGCTGAGGCAGAAGGATAACCTGAGCCCAGCAAGTCAAGACTGTGGTAGCCATGAGCGTGCCACTGCACACCAGCCTGGGTCACAGAGTAAGACTCCAAATCGGGGTTGGGGGAATGGGAAGTCCTGAAAGAATATATTAGACTCTAAACAGACTCTGCAGAATGACTCTGCAGAATGAGGTTTATACATTTCTATATGATATGAAATTTTTTTTAAATAAGGATGTATAAAACTTTACCCTTAAAAATAAAACTATTAGCCAGGCTCGGTGGCTCAGCCTGTAATCCCGCGCCTTTGGGAGGCTGAGGTGAGTGGATTGCCTGAGCCTGCGGGTTCGAGACCCGTCTGGGCAGCAAAACCTCATCTCTACAATAAATCAAAAAATCAGCCGGGCGTGGTAGCGCATGCCTG